TATGTATATGTCAATTCCAACCTCCTAATTTATCCCCCCACACCTAACCCCCTGGTAACCATAAGCTTGTTTTCTCCATCTGTAACTATGAGAATATACCTTCTTTTTATTTTATTTATCTATTTATTTTGGCCCTGTCCCATAACCTGTGGGATCTTAGTTCCCCAGATGAGAGATTGAACTCGTGCGTCCTGCATTGGAAAGTGGAGTGTTAACCATTGGACCACCAGGGAAATCCTGTATCTTCTTTTTAACTACCCACTGGATGTTCATAAAACTGAACATTGCAAAAACCTTGATGAATTCCCTGAAGTAGAAATAATAGAGACCAGGAAGATGGTGAAAATGTGTCATGGCTGGTCTAAGAAGGGCAGTCTTCCAGTTTGAATGGACCCAGTTCTGAATGGAGACTGGTCCATTCCACTGGTGTACCTGTGGATGTTAGCTAGAATGAAGATGGGTTGTCTGAGCATAGTGTGATAAAACAGACATCATAACAAATTCTGAGAACAGAAAGCCACAAACACAATGAAGCGCTTAAAACAACTTAGGTCAAAGGAGAAACTCAGTGCACAGCAAAGGAAACTATAAGCAAGGTGAAAAGACAGCCCTCAGAATGGGAGAAAATAATAGCAAATGAAACAATTGACAAAAGATTAATTTCCAGAATATACAAGCAGCTCATACAACTCAATACTAGGAAAACAAACAACCTAATCAAAAAGTAGGAAAAAGACCTAAACAGACATTTCTCCAAAGAAGGCATACAGATGGCTAACAAACACATGAAAAAATACTCAACATCGCTCATTATTAGAGAAATGCAAATCAAAACCACAATGAGATATCACCTCACACTGGTCAGAATGGCCATCATCAAAAAGTTTACAGACAATAAATGCTGGAGAGGGTGTGGAGAAAAGGGGGCGCTCTTGCACTGTTGGTGGGAATGTAAACTGATACAGCCACTATGGAAGGCGTTATGGAGATTCCTTAAAAAACTAGGAATAAAACCACCATTCAGTTCAGTTCACTTCGGTAGCTCAGTTGTGTCTGACTCTGTGATCCCATGGATTGCAGCACGCCAGGCCTCCCTGTCCATCACCAACTCCCAGAGTTTACTCAAACTCATGTCCATTGAGTAGGTGATGCCATCCAACCATCTCATCGTCTGTTGTCCCCTTCTTCTCTTGCCTTCAGTCTTTCCCAGCATCAGGGTCTTTTCCAATGAGTCAGTTCTTCGCATCAGGTGGCCAAAGTATTGGAGTTTCAGCTTCAACATCAGTCCTTCCAGTGAACATTCAGGACTGATTTCCTTTAGGATGGACTGTTTGGATCTCCTTGCAGTCCAAGGGACTCTCAAGAGTCTTCTCCAATACCACAGTTCAAAAGCATCAATTTTTTGGTGCTCAACTTTCTTTATAGTCCAACTCTCACATCCATACATGACTACTGGAAAAAACCACCATATAACCCAGCCATCCCATTCCTAGGCATATACCCTGAGGAAATCAGGGTTGAAAAAGACCCATGTATCCCACTGTTCATTGCAGCGCTATTCACGATGGCTAGAACATGGAAGCAACCTAGATGCCCATCGACAGATGAATGAATAAAGAAGTTTGGTACATATACACCATGGAATATTTCCCAGCCATAAAAAAGAACACATTTGAGTCCGTTCTGATGAGGTGGATGAATCTAGAACCTATTATACAGAGTGAAGTGAGTCAGAAAGAGAAAGATAAATATCCTCTTCTAATGCACACATACAGAATCTAGAAAAATGGTTCTGAAGAATTTATTTACGGGGCAGCAATGGAGAAACAGACATAGAGAATAGACTTATGGACATGGGGAGAGGGGAGGAGAGGGTGAGATGTATGGAAAGAGTAACATGGAAACTTACATTACCATGTGCAAAATAGATAGCCCACAGGAATTTGCTGTATATCTCAGGAAATTCAAACAGGGGCTCTGTATCAGCCTAGAGGGTTGGGATGGGGAGGGAGATGGGAAGGAGGTTCAAATGGGAGGGGATATATGTATACCTATGGCTGATTCATGTTGAGGTTTGACAGAAAACAACAAAATTCTGCAAAGCAATTATCCTTCAGTAAAAAAATTTAAAAAAAAGAGGAGAAACTCAGGCTAAACATAAAGAACGCTACATAAAGGTCTATGGGACAGAGAAGGAAGGGCTAAGAGGAAATGAGTAGGCATAAATAAATTCATGTGTTCTTCTTTGAGTTTTCATATTGTTTTTTCCTTATCCTTGTAATCCTCTCATGCTGCTGTGCATTTCTTCTCATTTCAAGCTACCTCTGAGTGTCTTGAGGGAATGATTTCTGTGGAATACTCCGTAGGTAAGCTCAGTGTCTGACCCAGAATAGGCTTTTCGTAAACGTTTGCTGATGAACAGTCTCAAGTCTGCTGGACTTTGAAAGGTGATTTAGACCCAGCAACTGTCTTCTAAGGGTTTCCCAGGTGCCTTGGTGATAAAGAACCCTCCTGCCAACGCAGGATCTGCAGGCTTGATCTCTGGGTTGGAAAGATCTCCTGGAGGAGGAAATGGCAACCCACTCCAGTATTCTTGTCTGGAAAATCCCATGGACAAAGGAGCATGGAAGGTTACAATCCATGGGGTCACGAAAGAGTCAGACACAATTTAGCAACTAAAGGACAACTGTCTTCTAAACTCAGTAATCAAGAGTCTTCCTCCTGGAGGCCCTGCTCCAGTGTTAGAGGTAATAATATCTTTTTTTTTTTCATTTATTTTTATTAGTTGGAGGCTAATTACTTTACAGAGGTAATAATATCTTAATGTGTAGTTTCTTTTGCCCATGAGCGTGTGAAGATGCTAATGTTTCTGGTGGTACTCTGCATTTCATTGTAATCTCTTCAAATAAAGGTCCACTTCTGAACTGTCTCAGGGGCTCTTACTATTATGGCCAACAGACACAATATTTTTCATGAGAAAGAGATATAAAATTGTGATATGACTATGTAACATCCTAAAAAAATCATGTGAGTCAATGAAAGAAAGAATCATCATTGAGAAATTTATTTCCCTAAGGAATTTTAGAAAATGGTGTGCCAGGCATGCTATAGTTCAAACATCTTGTGAGTGACCTAGGTCCTCACATGTCCTGTTTTGGGAACATGGCTGGAGTGGTTGGCGTGGAGAAATTCCATCTGAATACTGAGTGAGGCTGACAGGATGTGGTTCTCTTCATAGATGCAGTTAAACACTTTATGCTTTCACCCCAGGAGTACATACCTACCATCTTCTTGGATGTGTTGTGATTGGCAAACACTGCCTATTACTAAGTGCACTGAAGGTTTTGTTTGGCATCTTGTGCATTGAAACACACTAGTCATGACAACACTTGTTATGAAATTCAGGGCTTTAAGATGACTTTTGCGTTCATGAGTATTTCCAAACAGTATTCTTCAGCAGTTCCGTAGCCAGGCAGAGTCATTAGCAGGTTTTACTGATGTGGCCCCTGAGGACACTAGATATTCCAGGGAAACCCTCCTTTATATGACCTCTTTCATATTCCTTCAGAAATGAATGGCTTTCCTGTATGTCTTTCACAAAGACCACAAGCCCTGGAAACTTCATAGAAGTGGGTGTCTGTCCAAACTTGGGAATAATTCTTGCAGGAGGCAGATGTTATGGCACAAGCAGGACAGGAACAGAACCAGAGGTTACAGATGCAGACCTACAGTCCAAACCCATCAAATCTGTTCTGCAGATGTGTTTATTGGGATCGTATTTTTTTTTTAACATTTAAATTAGTTGCCCAGTTGCAAAATCTGGGACTTTTTTTTTATTACTTCAGGTTAAGTCTGGATAGGACTTCCCTGGTGGCTCAGTGATAAAGAATCTGCCTGCCAATGCGGGAGACACGGGTTCGATCCCTGGTCCTGGAAGATCCCACGTGCTGCGAAGCAGCTAGGCCTGTGTGCCACATCTATTGAGCCTGTGCTCTAGAGCCTGGGAACTGCAACTGCTGCAGCCCCAGTGCCCTAGAACCTTGGTCTGCAACAAGAGAAGCCACTGCAATGAGAAACCTAGGCACTGCAACCAGAGAGTAGCCCCTGCTCGCTATGACAAAGACCCAGCACAGCCAAAAATAAATAAATACAATTTTTAAAAAGTCTGGATGTAGGACTTGTCTTGAAAAATTAGAATGATCAGGCCATGCTGAGATCCCTGTTTTTGCACTGGCAGCCATCAGTGGAGCTGGGAGCTCTTCCCTTCTGGGTGGAGAAGAACTCCAGGTACCACCACTGTCTCTGGCCTCAGGCATTCCTCTGAGCCAGCTTCATGATCCCAAGACAGGTGATGAGATTGAAAGTAGATGGCAATGTGGGTAATTATGAGGGAGACAGACTTCTATACTTAAATCACATGGTCTCCTTGATAAACACTTTATTCAACAGCCCAGAGATGAGTTGATTATCTTCATAGTCTGGAAACAAACGAACTATGAAAACTGCCTCATGGTTAACATCTGGTGGCTCTTTGTCAGTTCTATCTGTTCTGGTTAGAGGTCAAATAGCACTGGAGTAGGGTGGAAGGAAAACTCTAAAATGGCAAAGGCCAACTCTTCACACAGCTTATGGGATCTTAGTTCCCCAACTAGGGATTGAACTTGTGCCCCCTGCAGTTATAGCACAGAGTCTTGACCAGTGGACCACCAGGGAAATCCTGGCAAAGGCCAACTCTTAGATGCCAACCCCCGCTACCATCTGGGGGGAGCTATCATTCCTTCCTGGGGGACCCTATCATTTGTTCGCAGGCTGCCTCCTCCCTCACTTAGAATTTTGAGAAGGAGAATGAAATAATCTGAACCAAACCCTTCTCTGAGCAGCCTTTCCAACATATTTGGATAACAAAGAATGCTTCTGTACTAATCTTGCTTTGCACAGCTGCACGGAAAAGAGTGTTTAACTCTCTCCTGTATATTTTGTCTTTTGGGGAACCCTATCAGGAAGCTTATGATCATCTCTTGGAAGCCCCGGTCACTCGGGAGCAGTTAAACCACTACCGGAATGTGGCCGAGGCTGCCCGGAGTGAACTTGCAGCAACGCTGGTCCAATTTGAATCTGCTCAGTCTGAGGTGAGAATCTGTGTCTTCATTGCTCACAAACGGGCCTTGTTAGCTTCCTGTGGAGCGAAGCAGAGTTCAGGGACGATTGGAAAGAGGACAAAGGGACACGGGCAGAGGTGGTTCTCTTTTTCTCTTACTGTGCCCCAAGCCTCTGGCTGGCTCCCTGGCGGCTCGGTGGTAAAGAATCCACCTGCCAGTGCAGGAGAGGTAAGCCTCGGGTTTGATTCCAAGGTCAGGGAGAGTCCCTGGAAAAGGAAACAGCAACCCACTCCAGTACTCTTTCCTGGAGAATCCCGTGGACAGAGGAGCCTGGTGGAGTCCATGGGGTTGCAGAGCTGGAAGCAACTGAAGTGACTGGAAAAGGAAACAGCAACCCACTCCAGTACTCTTTCCTGGAGAATCCCGTGGACAGAGGAGCCTGGTGGAGTCCATGGGGTTGCAGAGCTGGAAGCGACTGAAGCGACTACTAGTAGCTTCTGGTTGGGGAGAATTCCTGAAAGGCTGTGCATTTGCTGGGCTGGGAGATGAGGTGACCTGGGCTGGATTCTGGCTCTCAGGGGAGCTGTCCTTGCTGAGAGCACGTGGGGCACCTGGGGACTTGGGAGGCCACATGGGCTTTGGAGGGCTCTTAGCATCCCTGGGAGGAGCTTTGTTTAAGGTGGATTGCTTGCAACCTGCAGCATCCCTGGGAGGAGCTTTGTTTAAGGTGGATTGCTTGCAATCTGAGGTCTAGGGGTAGAAATCTGCCTCCCTTTTTTGTGGTGGTTCCGCTTGAGTGAGGAAGGTTCTACGAAGGTGGCCAAGATCCACCTACCCTCGGGGCTGGATTCAGTCTATTGTAGAGTTTCTGGGAGATTCTTGCTAGACTCACTGTGCTTATAGACTAGTGGCCCCGAGGAATCCTAGGCTTGCCTGTGAGGTAATGACAGTCTCACTAGACTGTCAGGCTCCCATTGAAAAATGAGTTGATAATGTGTGTGTATGTGTACGTGAATAAATGTAGGCATGCGTACTCATAGTTCCAAAAAGTATAGTTGTAGTGGTGTAGTATAGTGAAAGTCACTCAGTCGTGTCGGACTCTTAGCAACTCCATGGACTGTAGTCCGCCAGATGGGAGTGGATATTGGAGTGAGTTGCTGTTCCCTTCTCTGGGAGATCTTCTCAGTCCAGGGATTGAACCCGGATCTCCTGCATTGCAGGCAGATTCTTTACTGTCTGAGCCACCAGGAAAGCCCTTCAAAAAGTATACATGTTCATAAAGTTTTCTAATGGAGTGGATCTGATATCTTATAAGGCACATACTGTGTTCAGAATTTTAGTGTGAGAGAAAAGAATGTGTTTCTTTTGTAGAAATCCTATAGTGATTTTCCTTTTCTCCTATATTTTTTGCCAGAAATCTGAATATTGTTTTTCTTTATCCCTCTCAATAAATGTTCAGAAGGCTGGGAAAGAATTTCTGTAATATATTGAATAGTCTGTGTTGACTTGTGAAAGGGTCGTGGCCATGAAATTACAAATAGCCTACCTGTAGCTTCCTTGTTTCAGCAGCAGCAGCAATAGCAGTAATACAAATTTAGAAAATGAGTTTCCATTGCAAAATATTTTATTCCTTTTTGCAAAATACACCACACCTGTCTCTTGACTGAGACTCATTCATCAGAGGACATTGCTTAATAGTTTTTTGCCTGGAAACAGAACTTCCATAAGACCCAGCGGTCCTACTGCTGATCATACACACGGAGGAAACCAGAATTTAAAGAGACATATGTACCCCAGTGTTCATTGCAGGACTGTTTACGATGGCTGGGACATGGAAGCAACCTAGATGTTCATCGGCAGACGAATGGATAAGGAAATTGTGGTGCATATACACAGTGGAATATTACTCAACTATAAAAAGAACATATTTGAGTCAGTTCTAATGAGGTGGATGAAACTGGAGCCTGTTATACAGAGTAAAGTGAGTCAGAAAGAGAAACACCAATACAGTATATTAATGCATAAATATGGAATTTAGAAAGATAGTAGGAACAATCCTATGTGCAAGGCAGCAAAAGAGACACAGATGTAAAGAACAGAATTTTGGACTCTGTGGGAGAGGGCGAGGGTGGGATGATCTGAGAGAATAGCATTGAAACATGTATATTATCATATGTATTTTACATATGACCAGCGCAAGTTTGATGCATGAAGCAGGACACTCAAAGCTGGTGCTCTGGGACAACCCAGAGGGATGGTGTGGGGAGGAAGGTGGGAGGGGAGGTTCAGGATGGGGGGGACACTTGTGCACCCGTGGCTGATTCATGTCGAGGTATGGCAGAAACCATCACAATATTGTAAAGTAATCATCCTCCAATTAAAAAAGAAAAAACATTGTTCAATAGTTTTTTGAAAAAGAATAAAAGGGCCCACTATTTAAGCCTAATTTCCCATCTGGTAATACAGAAGCAAATATGAAAAAAGAAAGTAAAGTTGGCTTAAGTCATGAATAAAAAACTGAAATTTTAAATTATGATTTGGGTTTTTTTTCAAGGTACTTCAAACTTATATCCTTGAAATCTTTTCCCTCTTTTTACTTCTTTTCCATGTCAGCTTCGAGAACTGCGATCCAAGATGCTTTCTAAAGAAGTTTCCTGTCAAGAATTGAAAGCTGAGATGGAGAGCTACAAAGAAAACAATGCCAGAAAATCGTCTCTCCTCATCTCTCTCAGGGACAGAGTTCAAGAACTAGAGGAAGAATCAGTGGCTCTCTCCACTTCTAAAATTAGAACTGAAATCACAGCTCAGTCTGCAATCAAGGAGAACCAAGAGTTAAAGAAGAAAGTGGTAGAACTGGACGAAAAATTACAGTAAGGATATTTCAATATATTTCTCAATAGCAGGATATGCCTTTGAAGGTACTGGCATTTTGCATTATTTGGCCCTGAAACTCAACTTGGGAAAAAAAAAAATCACACACACACACACACACACACACACACACACACACATATATAATTTGGAAGATTTCCTCTAAGTAGAGGTTTAACTGGAGGTTGTGGAATAGTACACAGAGGGAGGGGTTTATTCAGAAGCAAGTTATAAAAATACCTCAGAAGCCCAGAACGCCCCAGACCACCCTTAACACTCCTCATTAAGTTTTATTGCCGGTTTATGCAGAGAACTCAGGAAATCTAGGTTTTCTACATGTAGTTCTGCCAAAAGGTGATTATTGAGATAAAATTGGGAGCTAACTGTCTTAAAATATACTTTATAATTCTGTGTATAATAGCTGAAATCACTTTACTAATAAAACACTTGGTATTTATTTTACTTATTTCATCTTAAAAAGTTTAAAAACAAAAACCCAGTGCTTCCAGCTCCTGTCCTCTTTCTCTCCTTCCCTTTAGAGCAAAATTCCTTAAACATGTTTGTATGTACTCACTGTGCCAATTTCTCTCCTGTTTCAGATCTACTCCGCTGAAGCCACTCATTAAGGTGACCAGTGACTGCACACTGCAAATTAAATGATCAGTCTTACCTGATCTTCCAGTACATCAGTCAGTAGTTGGTTTTTTCCCCTGAACCACTTTCTTCTTTTAGCTTCCAGGGCACTGCACATGCCTGCTTTTGATCTTGCCTTCCTAGCTGCTCTGTCATGATCTCTTGCTTTATCCTCATCTCCTTGACTTCCAAGTATTGGAGTAGGGCTCAGTCCTTGACTCTGTTCTTGAAAGTGAAACTCCCTCAGTTGTGTCCCACTCTTTGTGACCCCATGGACTATACAGTCCACGGAATTCTCCAGGCCAGAATACTAGAGTGGGTAGCCTTTACCTTTTCCAGGGGACCTTCCCAACCCAGGGATCGAACCCAGGTCTTCCACATTGCAGGTGGATTCTTTACCAGCTGAGCCACAAGGGAAACCCAAGAATACCGGAATGGGTAGCTTATCCCTTCTCCCAGGGATCTTCCCGATCCAGGAATTGAACCAGGGTCTCCTGCCTTGCAGGCAGATTCTTTACCAACTGAGCTATCAGGGAACTCTCTTCTTGTTTCTATCCAAATCCACTCTCTCAGTGCTCTCATCCAGTCTCATGACTTAAAGTATGACCTAAATGCTCATGACTCCCATGTTTCTTCATAAGACCTGCATATCTTATGACTTACTGGGCATCTTCACGTGGATGTCCAACAGGCATCTCAAACTTAACATGTCCAAATTAATATTTCCACAAATTTGTCCTGTGGTTTTCCTAATCTCATTGAATGATAATTCCATTCCTCTAGTTGATCAGGGCAAAAATCTTGGATCATCCTTGCTTTCCTTTCCTAGTTGCTCAGTAAATCTCATCATTTATCTCTACCATCAAAATAAATCTTAATTTTTACTACTGTCCATTGCTACTAACCTTGTCTGCATCTCCAGTTTTACCCCACTCCCCCTAAATGTTTCTTACTCCTTTTTCTGCTTAATCTTTATCTTCAGCTCTATAATATACTATACATTTTTCATACATTTATTTTTTGATTATTGTCCATCTTCCCAATTAGGACATAAGTCCCATGAGGGCAAGAATGTTAACCTCTTTCGTTTACTACTGTATCTTTAGCAGTTTTAACAGAGCCTGATGCATAGTAAGTGCACAATAAATATTTATTAAACAAATGAGTAATAAGATGATATAGTTATTGTAGGAGAGTTTTTAAAGATATAGTACAGTGTCAAAAAGAAAATTACTCAAAACCTTATGATTCTAGAAAAACTATAGTTCGCAGTTGTTGAACAGATATTCAAACAGTTGTACTTAAATTACATCATGTAGTGAAATATTTTTCCTGAATAATATGTTATAGCTAAAAAAATCTTTCATGATATCATTTTTTAATGGCCAGTAATATTTCTTTGCATGTTAATATCATAATTTACTTAACCAGTTCTCTTTGTTGTTTCCTTTAGACACTTAGGTTAGTTCCACTCAAAAAATTATTGTAAACCAAGATGCAATGAGGATCCATATGTGTTCATATTTTCACATTTATATGATTATGTCCTTATGGTAGATGCCTGGAACTTTGTTAGGTCAAAGTGAAATGCAAATAGAAGTGGTAATAGTTTAGAAGTTCCTGGAATAGAGAATACTGAAATCTTGGAATAAATGTATTGAATCACATACATAAATCAATCAGAGCCATGGCATTTACTATGACTTTCATGAGTTAGAGAGACTGAATACATACTACCTTTCATATGCTGAAAGTGAGAACTCAGAGATATATTGATGTTGGTCTTTTATTGTTATACATTTTTCTAAATAGAAATATGGCATGATTTTGAGTATATGCAATTACATACTTTGTTAATCTTTGAATTGTGTGAAAGAATTTGCAGTAACATTTGAGTGTTGTTGTAAACACTTAAAATGGTAAAAAGGGAAAGCAATAATCATGTTTATTATCTAGGGTACTAAAAATGATGACAAATTATTGAAATAATTCTAATTTGCCTTTAAAATATGTCTTTTTTATGTTCTCTTAGTCTTTAACATTTAAAGCATTAGAAATAGACCATGCTATTTCAGCAAACCCGCATGAGATTTGAAATAAAATATTCACAGCAGAGCATACATTGACTGATTTTCCTTGATTGGCCCATTTCAATACTCTTTAAAAATTCTAGATGTGCAAAAACTAATTGTGATCTTTGCTGATGACTGAACACCTCTCTTCTCTAGAGGTGGGCATATCCTCTGCTTCTGATGTAGTTTTTAATTATATTTACCCTTGGCCATGAATGAAGGAATGCTCTAAGTAACCCTTATGGATCATTGTATAGTATACAATGTTTTGTATACAATCATTTGTATAGTAACCAAAGCTTGGTCTCTAAACCCACTGTAGCATCACTTTCTTTCTTCCCCCATGAAGCCTCAACAGAGTCATGGATCCGTGTTTGATCTAGAACAACAGTCTCCAACCTTTTTGGCACCAGAAACCGATTTCATGGTTTCAAAAACTTTCATGGAAGACAGTTTTTCCATTGATCGGGGGTGGTTTCAGGATGATTAAAAAACATTACATTTATAGTGCACTTCATTTCTAATCTAATGCTGCCAATGATCTGACAGCAGGTACTGGTCCATAACCCCGAGGTTGGGGACCCCTGATCTAGAGGACCACCTGCCACTTCTGCAGATCCTAAAAGGTCAGGGACAGGAGGCAGATAACCTGTCTCCCTTGCTAAGATGACATGAAGATCTTCCTACGTTTTTGCAAAGTATAGGTGCTCCAGAGTTGCTTCCACTTCTCTCTTTTAACTGGGCTTTTTAGACAATTATGTGCTCTGTGTCTGGGAAACTATGTTGTGTTGAAAATGATGATTGGCTATTTCCCAACAGAGAGCTCAAGTGCTGAACTTTGATGAATGTTATCTTCTTTGGTGTTAAAACTTATTTCTTATTTGACCAACAGAAAATGTTTAAAGGAAAATGAGGAGAATAAGAATCAAGTCTCACAGAATTGCAGGAAACATGAAGAATTTCTGGCTCAACTTCGTGACTGCTTAGATCCAGAGAAGAATGCAAAAGCATCAGATGAAGATTTAATTCTCAAGGTGCTTGTATGAAGACTAAAACGACTATCCGTTGGGTGGTCGTTCTGATGTGTGCCATGAAGGAGGAGCTGAGGTTAAGTCTGGGGGTGCAGGGGAACAGGACAGGAGCCAGTACAGCCTTAACCAACTGTGTGACCTGGGAAAACCATACCACCTCTCTGAGCCTCAATTCCAAGATTCTTTCTAGCATTATTTGGGATTCCTTTTTCTCCAGAAGCTCTCTCTGGCTCAGATGGTAAATAATCTGCCTGCAGTGCAGGAGACCCGGGTTCAATCTCTGTGTTGGGAAGATCCCCTGGAGGAGAAAATGGCAACCCACTCCAGTATTCTTGCCTGGAGAATGCCATGGATAGAAGGGCCTGGGGGGCTACAGTCCATGGGGTCACAAAGACCTGACACGACTGAGTGACCAACCCTTACTTACCTACTTAATCTCCAGAAGGGATTGATTTTTTGCTTAAAATATATTTAGATTGTCAAATAAAATTAATTATTCATTTAAATGATATGTTTTAGGAAGACTTCTGTTTGTTTTAGGTACAGTCAGAAACACATGCATGCAACTGAAAATCAGAAACAGTTGCGTGTCATTTGGGGGATACTTGTGTGTCAGGTTAAGATGAGCTCTATAGTACTTTTTACTTTTACACTAAAGCCAAAAAATAAACATCCTGCTGTGATGGTAGGTTGCCATGGAGATGGAAATTAATGATATCACTTGGCCTGTAGCGATTCATTAGGGAACCTGATGGTATTTGAATGGACACCGTATCTCTGCACCTACCCTTGCTTTTGAATAGCTTTCCATGCAGCCATTCTTTCTTAAAACAATGTTTTATTTATTTATTCTTTAAAATTGAAGTATAGTTGATTTACAGTGTTGTGTTAGTTTCAGGTGTACAATAAAGTGATTCATATACATATAATTCAGTTACATGTATGGGTGTGTGTGTATATATATATATTCTTTTTCAGATTCTTTTCCCTTATAAGTTATTATAAAATAATTGAGTATAATTTTCTGTGCTATACAGTAGGTCCTTGTTTTATATACAGTAGTGTGTTTATGTTAATCCCAGACTCTAGGGGTTAAAATCTCTAGGTCCATTCATGCTGCTGCAAATGGCATTATTTCATTCTTTTTTATGGCTGAGTAATATTCCTTATATATATATGTGCCACATCTTCTTTATCCATTCCTCTGTTGATGGACCTTTAGGTTGCTTCCATGTCTTGGCTGTTGTGAATAGTGCTGCCGTGAACACTGGGGATATGGCCATTCTCAAAGGCCTCCCCTCCGTGGTTTATTAGTAAACAACCCATGTGTACCCTGTGAGAGCTGTGAAATGATTTCATTTTACTTCAGGAAGTAATGAGTTTTGGTTGCCCAGGCCTAGGTCCATCTAATTCCCTCAAGGTGCTAGATTCAGCTTTTTCTCCTCCTCCCTGTTGCTAACATGTGACCAGGATGCCTGGCTGTAAAAGTCTACTTTGCACTGTAGTTTGGAAGCTTATCTTTAAAGCAAGTGGTGGGGAAAAGAGAAGAAAATTAAAATGCTTCTTCCTTAAGACACCCTTTCCCACCTCACAGGTGATCTCCAGGTACTAATCTGTGTTGAAACCATATTAACCTCGCCTTTTTATTTTCTGTTCTTCTAATGCCTTGACATCTGGGGCCTTGCTGACCTTGGGTGCCAGGGTGAGCCAATTCCTAGTAAATGACTCTCTGGGTGCACACCTTTCCTATGCAAACCACCGAACTCAGAGCAGCCCACACCCCACCCCAACCACTTCTTTGTACCTGGTTTTTACACTCTGGGCCACTATCCAACCAGTCACCCCAGGACCAGGTGCCAGATGACTAGAGATGGCTCCCACACTCCAGAACCCACTGGAATTATTCAAACGAGGCAGCCCGAAGCCTGCTTACCCTGCCTCACCTCTTTCGTCCTGGGGAAAACATGTTTTCACCCCGGCTCCCTCTGTCTCCTGCCCAGCCCCGGTGCTCCCTGGGTGGCCCTACATGGCATGGTGTGCCCCCTCCTCTCAGGAACTAGGAGCAGCAAACTCTCTTTCAGCCTCTCCTGATTTGTTGGCCTCACTGTACCTGAATGATAATATAGCCTATATTTTTAAACAGATGCTAGGACCCTAGAGCTTTAGCATCTCAATCACCTGAGCAAGTCCTCACCTTATTTATTCATTTTGGCTGCACTGGGTCTTTGTTGCAGCGCTTGGGGGCTTCTCTAGTTGTGGTGCATGAGCTTAGTTGCCCTAAGGCATGCTCCTCGACAAGGGTTCTAACCCATGTCCCCTGCTTTGGAAGGTGAATTCTTAACCACTGGATCATCAGGGAGCGCCCACTCCCCATCTTACATAGAAATCAGTGGTCAAGAGTAAAAAGCCTGCTGCCTTCAACAATCACTAGGTGTTCCCTGAGGTTACCCAAACCACTCCAGTTTCAAAACCACTCCTTTATTCTTTTCACCTCATGACTACATGTATACACACACGCTAAGGAAAGATGGTAGAAAAGAAGGGGTTTCTAAGAACTTATTTGACATCCATCCATCCACTTCCCAAATATTGAGTGAGTGATTACTATGTGATAGACACTATTCTGGGTGTTGGGATACAGCTGTGAATGAGACAAGACAGAGTCTGTGCCCGCCTAAGAGCTTCCACTGTTGTGGGTCAAGATGCAGAGGCAATAAACAAATAAGTATACAATATTATCCCACAGAGTAAAAGGTGCAGTGAAGAAGTACAAATCAGGTTCTAGGGAAAGACCATGAAGCAAGTTAGAGGCATGGGATGCTAGTTTAGGTAGACTGGCTAAGGTATGCCCTCTGGGATGGGGACTTTTAAGGGATATTGGAACCACTGTACAGTATGGGGAACTCTGCTCAATATTATGTGGCAGCCTGGATGGGAAGGGAGTTTAGGGGGAGACTGGATACGTGTGTATGTATATGGCTGAGTCCCTTTGCTGTCCACTGGAAACTATCACAACATTGTTAATCAGCTATACTCCAATATAAAATAAAAAGGTTTTTTTTTTAAAATAAAAGGATGTTGGAAAGGAAAAATGTTCAAGAGAGAGGGAACAGCCCTGAGTCAGGAGCAGGGCACCATGTTGGCCAATTGTTGAGGCTAAAGATGCGTCGCTTCCCCAGATTGTCCTAACACACATGCTGACCATGTCTTGTGGAGTTTCAGGTCTTCCTACGGGCATCCTTGAGCTGTCTGCATGGCTGTTTCCCTGGGGCCCAGGAGCCTGGTTGGTTTTATTTTCCCTCCTTCTACATCATACAGATCTTATTAATGTTCCCAGCTAGCCTCTCAAATGCACAACATGAAGAGTGAAAAGCCCAGCTAGTCCCAATGATAACCATTGTTTGAGCATGTTATTCAGGATTTTTTCTATGCTTATATTAATTAGAAGGACTTTCTTTTGAAATAAAGAGAGTCCTGCCTTCTTCTCTGTATTTCTCCTCTGTGCCAGGTCATGCCTTATAAGCAGTTGATGCCAGCGGACATGGGCTGAATTGAACTTCCTTGCTTGCCTGCTGTAACTCTGTAGAAACATCACCATCCCTGGAGTATTTAGCAGCCAGGGGCTTGCTGATGCCTGTTCTGTCGGAAAGCTTTTGGCTGAACACTCATCATTGTTGCCTTGTAGCTACCTTTTGATTAATTTCAATTTGCCTACCCTGTCTGCCCATAACAAGAGAGTTGAGAGGCTGCCTTTGAAAATGTTATCTTTTGCGTGGATGGAGGAACAGTGCCTTTACTGTTTTCATGTGATAATGTGATCACGGGGGTTCATAGATCAGAGTTGCTTAGAGAGAGTAGTATGAAATTATTAATTTTTACAGGACAGCTGTAATTGCTTTCTCTTCAGCTTGGAGAGCTGTGCAAGGAAAACGCATTTGTGAAAGGACAAATTGTTGCTCTTGAAGAGACTATAAATGTCCATGAGATGGAGGCAAAAGCTAGCAGAGAGACAATCATGAGGCTGGCTTCAGAAGTAAACAGAGCGCAGAAAAAAGCTGCCTCCTGCATTGAAGAGAAAGGCAAGCTGAGCCAGGTACTGTATACGGAGCATGTGTGTGCATCTGTGATCATGTTTATGAAGCAGAAACTGAAAATCAGGTGTGGATGAGCACACTAGTGTCCCCGATCACAATTCCCAAAGGCTCCTCTCAGCAGGAGGGCTGGGGGGCACATGGGACTCTGTGACCAGATCAGGCCTCTGGATACAGTTTTTTCCTAATTAGAAATAAAGACATGCAAAACACTTATTAAGTAAAACATGTGTAGCTAATATGTCTTATTTGGTTAAATTATAAGGATTGAAATTTTTTTTAACTTAAATTGTTTTTTTTTAAACAAAGAGGTAATGCATTCACAAGATACAAAATTCTTAAGTGGACACAGGAGAATGTGGTGAGAAGTGTCCCCCAATCCCTTCCCCCCAACCACCCAGTTGCTCTCTCTAGAGGCAACCTCTGTCAATAATTTCTTATATCCCTTTCTGCAAATATTCTATATGCACATATTTATTTTTTAAATTTATTGTTTAACACAAATGGCAACAACTTTGCACACTCGATGTTTCCCATTTATTTACTTTTCAAAAATTGGTAAGGTCCTACACAGTATTATATACAAGGCTGCTAGGAATAATCTATCATTTCTTAATGTGAGAGTCTGTCAGCAAGACAAAGATCCTAAAAGTAGACTAGCTGGCTCAAAGGATATGGGGGTTTTAATTTTGAGAGACATTGCCCAAGGGAAGTGACTCTTACCTCTAAACTTTTATTTATATAATTAGTTGCTTGATCTTTCCAAATGAGTGAGGACCTGTATGAGCATGGGAATTAATACTGTATGTTTTTTTAAACACCATATAGTCCTTTTAAAAATTTTCTGTCAAAGAAACTAATTATGAGATTAATGATAAGGGTTAATTTCCAAAACCAAAAGTAAGCGAGTGCCACCAGTTAGTAAAATGCGTAGGAGAAAACTGAAGAGTAAAGGAGATGGAGTTTAAAATGAAGGAATGACCAATGCTGACTAAGAGCGGCTCCACGAGGGGTGAAGTTTCAGTGGTGTCCCGCAGGCTGTGAAGGGGGTTCTGGAATCGGCGGGACGCAGTGAAGGAGCGATCTTCATGGGAAATCCCGAGGTCTTCCGTGTCTATGGTGACATCACTGCCAAGGTGAGAAAAGATGGGAAGTTGGAATGTGAAAGTGATCCAGTAACGATAACAATTTCTATTTCTCTCCAGTTCCCTGCATCAAAGAGCACTTCTGACCACTAGATTTCTTCCTCTGTCACATTAACCTTGTGAAAGGAGCAAAGATTTTTACCACCATTACCAAGTCACTCTAATCATTTCAACACCTTGTCCTAGCCTGCTTCAGCTCTCATAATAAAATGCCATACACTGGGTGGCTTAAAAAACAGACATTTATTTCTCATATTTCCAGAGGTGGGGAAGTCCAAGATCAAGGGGGTAAGAGCTCTCTTCCTGGCTTGCAGACAGCCACTGTCTTGCCGTATCGTCACATGGCAGACTGAGTTAGCAAGATCCCTGGTGTCCTTTGTAAGGGCACCAATCCTAGAATGAGGGCCCCACCCCCATGGCTCCATCTGAAGATGATTATCCCTCAATGGTCCCATCTCCAAACACCAGTGCACTGGATGTTAGGGCTTCAACATTGGAATTTGAAGGGATACCATTCAAATAACTCAATTATTTTTCTCCAGCTTTTTCTTAGGAAAAATTTCCAACACATATAGAAAGAGTGAAGGAATACAATGAGCATCCATTTTATTACACATCCAAATGCAACAATTGTTACCATTTTTCTATATTTGCTTTATTACCTTGTACACACACATGCACACATATTTGCAGAATCACTTGAAAATAGGTTTAGACATTATATGTATTGTTTCTGACCACTGAAGCATAAGAATAAGGACATTATCCTAAATAACCACAATATCATTATCACATCTAAAAGTCAACAGTGATGCCACAGTATCACCCATGGAGGTTTCCAAGCCCACACGCTTTTTGTATTGCTTGAGAGATGAAGTTTAATCTCCCTCCCCTTGTGGGCTGGACGAAGTGGCTCACTTCCAGTGACCGGAGTATGTCAGAAGTGGTGGAATCTCACTTTGGAGATTGGGTTATGAAAGCACTGTGGCTTTTGTCTTAGATACACTCTCTTGAATTCTCTTGGGTCACTGCTTTTTGAGGGAAGCCAAGTGTTACATGGTGGGACACTCAGGTAGGCAGTTGCATGGCCTGGGAGCCCAGGAACTGAGGCCTATCATCTACCATGTGAGTGAGACTGGAAGTGAATCCTCTTTAAGCTGAATCTTGAGATGATAGTAGCCCTGGTCAACAGTTTGATTATAGCCTCATGGGAGACCTTGAATCAGAAACATCCAGCTAAGTCAGTCCCAGATTTCTGGCCCATAGAGCTGTGAGATAATAGATGTTTGTTGTGTTAAGCCATTAAGTCTGGGCTAATTTTTTATACAGTAATAGATAATAAACATCTAATATTAACTTTCAAATTTAATCATTTTCTACAAGGATGTCTTTTATAGCTGTTTTCTTCCCCAAATTGCAGTCCATTCTAGGTTCATCCATTGCATTTTTTGGGTTATTTTTAGCCTTTTATAGTTTTTTTTTTAAATAACATTAAAAAAAATGTTACTGACTTCTCGTACAGAGTACAAAGCAGTGGCCTGATTGTTTCTTCAAGATGTTATTTAACTTGCTTACCTATACCCTATACAGGTAAAGTTGGATTTAGAGGCAGTATTGGATTCAGGTTGAACCTTTTTTGGCAGGAATATTTCAAAGATAAAGTTGTAAACTTCATATTGAATTGCATTAGAAGCAAATAGTGTTAGATTGTTCCATTGTTGCTGAAACTGTTTGACTGCCCATATCTTCAATGTAAAGGTACGTTTTATTTTATACAGCCAAGTAAGGTATCTGTGGGGTGAGAATTGGCAGATTGTTTCTGTTCCCCCTTGAGTTACCTAATGATGTTTTCATCTATTGATTCTTGCCTGGATTAATTTATATCAGGGGTGGCAAAGTGGTAATATTCTAATTTCATCATTCCTTCTACTTATTAGTCAACATTCTTCCTAAAGAAAAGCTTTTTATTTTCTTTCTTTTTATTTTCAATTCTATGGACACATGGATTTTTATTTACTTACTATGAATAGTCAATTATCCTTTTGGCTTTCCAAATCCTCCATGTTTGGCTAGGAGTCCCTGCAAGATGGTCTCTGTGACCTTATAACTTGACTCCTTTAGTCTTTCAATGCTTCCATGCTTTTCAACAGAAGATGATATCTTAGGCTCACTTACAATTTTCAGACCACAGAACTAAAATCAGCCTCTTCTCTATGGAGTTTTGGCTCCTTTTACTGGGGAATAGTGCTTAGCAACCAAGATTCAGGCTCTAGGTGTGCTCATTGCTACTGGGATGTCATTGCTTTTAGTGGATAGAGCTAGAAATACTTTTTTAGAAATGAATTAATGCTGGTACTTTTGGGAACTTTTTATTTGGTATTGGAGTATAGCTGATTAACAATACTGTGATAGTTTCAGATGAACAGTGAAGGGATTCAGTCATACATATGCATGTATCTGTTCTCCCTCAAAACCCCTCCCATCCACGCTGCTACATCACATTGAGGAAAGTTCTGTGTAATTCTCATATTTTTAATTAAAAGTAATATTTTAGAGTTTTCTTAATATCCTTTTACTTTATATTGGTAATCTTTTAGATCCTAATAATAATATTTACTCATTTGCTTTGTCTTAGAAATATAAACAAGAATATTTGAAAATGAACTTTCAGTATTTTACCTATAAGTAAACTTTCTTAGTGAAATTTAAGACTCTCAGAGTTTTTACTATAGTACTTTCAGTAATCATGAGTATAATAATCACAATTTACCAATCACTTGGAAATTTGGAAAACTCAGCAGTGGCCACAGGACTAGAAAAGGTCAGCTTTCATTCCAGTCCCAAAGAAGGGCAATGCCAAAGAAGGTTCAAACTACTGCACAATTGTACTCATTTCACATACTAGCAAAGTAATGCTCAAAATTCTCCAAGCTAGGCTTCAACATTACATGAACTGAGAACTTCCAGATGTCCAAGCTGGATTTAGAAAAGGCAGAGGAACCAGAGATCAAATTGCCAACATCCGTTGGATTATCGAAAAAGCAAGAGAATTCCAGAAAAACATCTACTTCTGCCTTATTGGCTATGCTGAAACCTTTGTGTAGATCACAACAACCTGTGGAAAATTCTTCAAAAGATGGGAACACCAGACCACTTTACCTGCCTCTTGAGAAATCTGTATGCAGGTCAAGAAACAATAGTTAGAACTGGACATGGAACAATGGACTGGTTCCAAATTGGGAAAGGAGTACGTCAAGGCTGTATATTGCCACCCTGCTTATTTAACTTATGTGCAGAGTACAACATGCGAAATGCTGGGCTGGATAAAGCACAAGCTGGAATCAAGATTTCTGGGAGAAATATCAGTAACCTCAGATATGCAGATGATACCACCCTTATGGCAGAAAGTGAAGAGGAACTGAAGAGCCTCTTGATGAAGGTGAAAGAGGAGAGTGAAAAAGCAGGCTGAAAACTCAACATTCAAAAAACTAAGATCATGGCATCCAGTTCCGTCACTTCATGGCAAATAGATGGGGAAACAATGGAAACAATGACAGACTTTATTTTCTTGGACTGCAAAATCACTGCAGATGGTGACTGCAGCCATGAAATTAAAAGACGTTTGCTCCTTAGAAGAAAAGCTATGACAAATACAGACAGCATATTAAAAAGCAGAGACACTATTTTGCTGACAAAGGTTCATCTACTCAAAGCTATGGTTTTTCCAGTAGTTCATGTATGGATGTGAGAGTTGGACTATAAAGAAAGCTGAGTGCTGAAGAATTGATGCTTTTGAACTGTGGTGTTGGAGAAGACTCTTGAGAATCCCTTGGACTGCAAGGAGATAAAACCAGTCA